CCAGTTCCCTCATTTTCAAAGAAATGTAACTGACTCCTCCTGCCTGCTTCTTCCCCCTCCCATTATTGATAATCTCAGTGAGGAGATGTAACATCAAGAGTACCATTTCTTAAACCAAACTGTTTGATGGAGTTCCTGTCGGGAGAACTCTTAAAAATAAAGTTAAAATGTTCAGACAGCATCTAACAGTCTGTTAAAACAGTAGCAGAACTCAATTATTACTTTTATTCTTTTAAGTAGTTTTGCCTTATTTGCTACAGATTTCACAAGCATATAAAAAAAAGAGACCCTCAACAACTTTCCATACACAAGCTTTTTTTTTTTTAAGAAGGAGAAATTAAAGTATAAAGCAAATCAATCACTAAAAAACTATGTAAAATATTCTAGAGCTTCAGCAGATTAAGTTCCATCACTCTCCATGGTTTTATGTCCCCTTCTGCAATATTAAGCATCTGCTACAAGGATATTTCTGCTTCATATTTTATCAGTTTTGATAACTTGACTTTCATTCCCCCTCCTTTCTGGGTTTTATTGGGTTGTTTAGTGCTTGGAGTTTTTTTAAGAACAGGACAAAGAAAAGCTTGGATACTAACAAGAGACTAAACTCCTAAGTGACAGAAAATTCCCAATCTTATTGAACTTCCAATCTAAGCTACAGCAATCATTAAATAATTTATTAAATCCTTCAGGAGTTTATTTTACACAAAGTGTTTCGAGCCAGCCAATTAAAAGCATTAAACCATCTGAACACCAAAACATTCAGTTACATTTTAGCCCCCCCACACAGCCAAAAGTGCTGGTGGGAGGACTGAACCCTTGGGGTTATCAGGCCTAGGAGGCAGCAGGGCAATATTTAATGATATATGACAAAGGGAAAATAAAATATGGACCTATACTATAATAAGCTAGCCTTAGAAAGGTGACTATTACACTGATTTTCACCTGGCTAGAATTTAAATAGAAAATTAAGGCATTCTTTTTCAGGTGCTAAAACAAAAGGGAAGCAAAACATTTAGCACCTGGTGTAGAAACAAGTACCTAAAGTACTGCAGATGTAACAAGAGTGTAAATAGTTTCTTTTGTACTCAGAGATCAAGTTCATTGATGGTGGTTTTGGTAGGTTTGTTTTTGGGTTTTTTTTGTCTGATTGTTTTAATTTACTTCAGAAAGAAGAGGATGTTAAATTAAGATAAATCGAGCTTGGAACAAGTTATGTTTACAAACACAAAACAAGTAGAGCAGAAATTAGCTCCCTACATTCCAAACAGGCACAACATTAAAGACAAAAAGAAAACTCCTGGAGTTAAGGAATCATTATCTTGCTCCTACAGACTGGAGATAAGGAAATCAGGAAACTTTGTTACACAGCTCATCCCGGCAGCAAATTCGCAGCCCTCCAGTGAGGACCTGTGTGCTCTGATAGTTACAGGAGGCAAAAAGTGTTGCAATGTCTTGCAGAGACACTTTATCCAGAATGTTTTTATCAATGAACTGCAGCAGCACTTCCAGGGCCTGCGATTTTGCCAGCTCTGAATAACCAAATATTTATAACAAGTCAGCCAAGTAAACACACTTCAGCTACAAGGGATGGAGGGAAAAAATCCTATTTCCACTACAGGTCCCACACACAAGTAATTTCAAACTTAAATTCCTCTAGTTGTGCACGTGGGAACAATAAAAATTGGAATTTCAGAGTAAATTTTCCAGAAAAACTGACATTAAACAGCAGCAGTACCTGTTCCTCACCATGGCAAAAGGCTTCAAGAGCAGGTGACCAAAATAAGTATTTTTTTTTTTTCAAGAGATCCTATAACAACATTTGCATTAATTAAAATAAGCACTGCTTGGAAAACAACGGTCTTGTAAAGAAACAGGAGGTTCTTCTAACAAACGAGGTTTTAATGAGCATTACTGCAGTCCTGCCAACAGACCCACCACACAGCACGGGAGGAATCAATGGACTGACAGGCAGGACTCCTGGCTGGGATCACCAGCTCTGAACCGGATAAAAACCACCAGGAACCCAAAATCCATCAGCACGAGAACTGCTGCAAGAACAGTGAAAAAAAAAAAAAAATCAATACTAGATCTCAAACTCCTGATTAGACACGATTGGAAATGTCAAACTCTCCCTAGTTCGACAACACCAGCACTGGTTTTCAATAGTCAATGAAGACAAAGGTTTCTCCTCAGTAAAAAAAAAAACAGAAAGCACTAGAAGTGCACCCCAGAAAGAAGCACAGAGAACTGAGGATCTTTCACACATCACACACTGCACAGAAAATGAAATAAAGTCTAATTTAAGCAATGCAGCAACATGTTCCACACTCTGCCAGCAGGAAAGCTGACCCTGCTATGGTCAGTGCCTGTCACTCCAAACCAGAGGGGAATGTTGCAAGTGGAATAAAGACTTGCAAAGGATTTTAACTGCTTGCTATCCCAACCACTTCTGATATCAGTTAGCTCCTCTTTTTTTCCTTTCTCAAAAGCATGCACCACTAATTATTGAAATATTTTCTACTAGAAATAAAAACTTGTAGTTGCCATAAATAACCCTTTTCCTCCTTAAAACTCACCAACACACATGTGAATCAGTAACTTCCATACAGCTGCTTCCACAGGAGACTAAGATGTACCGAGTGAAAACATTTCAATTTAAAAAATAGATTTATTTTCTCCCGCTTTGAGGTTCTCTCTTTCCCCACCTTTTAGATCACAATAAATGAAAAGGGAAAGAAAGAGACTCAAAATCAAATCCTTAGCACCACAGTGGGCACCCTGGGTCTCTCAGCCAGCTATTTCAGGATTGTTCCCACCTAGTCATTGATTAACACCAGGTGTCCAGCAGGATCCTTAACAGTAAAGTCCTGAGGGAAGTGATAGTCCCTCCCCCTAATCAGAGACTAACAAGAGATATTTGGAGACATCTCAAATTCAACAGTAAAGCAAAACTTTAGGCAGCTGAGCAGGTATTTGTGCTGGAGCATGGGTTCAGATGTTCAACCTGTTTCAAACTTCAGCACCTCCACAAAGCAGCACACACCCCACAATAAAACCCTATTTCATAGCTGCACAGCCCACAGGCACCATGTGAGTTTACTGCCTACTTAAACTACTTTTTTATTCATTGCTGTCTTTAAAAAAAACCCTCAAGCTCCTACCCCTTCTAAATACAAGCAGGTGAGCGAGGCTCCAAGAACAGAACACCACGTGAACTTCAAGAACTGTGTCATGTCTCAAAACTTAAAACTCCAAACAGATAAACCTCTCCTGATGTCACCCGGCCTGGGAACAGCAGCACTGGAACGTTAATGAAACCTGATGGATCTCCCTTGAAGGAGAATCCAGAGCTCAAGGCTTGGAGTGAGGGTGTGCTGGGGTATTACATAACGCTGCTTTGGAAGCCTGCTCCTGCTAAGTATTCCCTATGGAATTCAGCGTTCCTAGAGCTCGCACAGAACCCAGGGACAGCCCCCCGATGGCAAAGCAGGACGAGGAGCAGCACCTGACACTATTCCTCAGCAAGGAGCTGGGCGGAATGATCCCATTTAACCTCGGGCACTTGAACAAGAACCCGAGGGCCAGCTGCTTCACAGAGTCACAGAGTGGTTTGGGCTGGAAAGGGGCCTTGGAGATAATCCAGTTCCAACTCTCTGTCACAGGCAGGGACACCTTACACTAGACCAGGTCGCTCAAAGCCCCATCCAAACCGGCCTTAAACACTTCCAGGGATGGAGCATCCACAACGTCCCTGGGTAACCTGTGTTAGGGCCTCAACATCCCCTCAGTATATTTTTCTAGTATCTAATCTGAGTGTACTCTCAGCTGGAAGCCATTCCTCCTTATCCTGTCACCACATGCCCTTGTACACAGTCTTGCCCCACCTTGCCTCCCAGTTCCCTTCGGGTACTGGAAGGCTGCAATGAGGTAACCCCAAACCTCCTCTTTCCCAGGCAGAACAAGCCCAACTCTCTCAGCCTTTCCTCACGGGAGAGGTGCTCCATCCCTCTGATAAATTTGGTGGCCTCCTCTGGACTCCCTCCAACAGGTCCATGTCCTTCATTCAGCGTCCTTCATTCCCCAGAAAGGAGCGACCCGTGTAACCTTGGTCGCTCTGTGCCCGCACAGGAGGAGAACCTGAGGGGCAGCTACTTCTGTCGGGTCAACCCGCCCGAGGGCAGCGAATGTGCCGCAGGCTCAGGGGCGGGCGGGGGGACAGCGGGCACCGCCTGCCTCCCTACGCCGTGCCGGCGGGGGAGCTGCGCAAGGCCCTCCAGGGCATGTGGAGAAGGCCGGCAGTGCCCGCCTCCTTTCTTCTCCCACTGCCGGGGCAGGAGGCACCGCCGCACCGCCCTTCCAGCGGGTGAGCCCCTCACGGGAGCCCCCCGAGCCCGGCACACGCTTGCTCCGAGGCGGGCCGGCGAAAGCGGCGCTACTCCAACTCCAAGCATCCATGGCCGTGCAACACCAGGCTCCAGTTGAGCGCACAGCCTCGCACGGGCTCCGCAGCTCGCCGGGGGCTGGAGGAGGAGAAGGAAGGAGAAGGAGGGACGGCGGCGGCGGACCCTAGCAGCGCCGCAGAGAGAGCGGGGCGCTGAGCAGCACCACCCCCGAGCGCCAGCGCCCAGCGCCATGTTCGGCCGCCCGCCTCAGGAAGTGCGGGCAGCTGAGCGGCGTCCGCGCGAGGGCGGCGCAGCTGGGCCGGGGCAGGGGCGGCTCCTCCAGGGCGGCTCCGCCCGGGGACCGCCCTCCCCTCACGGGAAAACGCGGTCCGCGCGGAAGGGAAAGGCTCCTCTTCTCCTCACGGGCAAAGGCCACCTTCCCCTCACGGGAAAAGCTGCCCTCCCCTCCCCTCACGGGAAAGGCGCCCCTTCCCCTCACGGGCAAAGCCGCCTTCTTCTCACGGGCGAAGCCGCCCCTTCTCCTCAGGGGCGAAGCCTGCTGCCCCTCACGGGATAGGCGTCCCTTCCCCTCACGGGCGAAGCGCCCTGTTCCACGGACCCCGGGAAGGCTTCAACCCCGATCTCCCGCTCCAGGCACGGCCGCCGGGCAAAGCGCTCCGGCCCCAGCGCTGCGGTGGCTTCCAGGTCGCTCGGTCAGGTTTTGTGATCCTCCTCCTCGTATTGGGGCGTCCATAACGAGGAGGCCTGTTCGAGGTGCCGTGCGGTGAGAGCTGGTTGGAAGGCTGTGAGGCGCCAGCGCAGTCGGGGTGTGCTGTGGGATCACGGTAAAACAAGTGTTCCCTGGGGCCGGGAGGGATTGTCACGGAATCCCGGCATCTCAGAAGAGTTCGAGTTGGGAGGGACCTTTGGAGACCATCCAGCCCAAGGCAGGGTCACCTGGAGCAGGTGATACAGGAGCTTGCCCAGGTGGGTTTGGAATGTCTCCGGAGAGGGAGACTCCACGCCCTGCCTGGGCAGCTGTTCCAGTGCTCTGCCACCCTTAAGGTAAAGTTCTTCCTCATGTTGAGGTGAAACTTGTTGTGTTTTAGTTTATGGCCATTGCTCCTCGTTCTGTCACTGCTCTGCCCCAGGCAGGCAGCCCATCCATCCCAATGCATTGTCTACCCCATCCTAGACACGTAATTCCATGTTTTCCCTTGACTTCAATGAGATTCCTGTCAGCCCCATCCCTTTGGCTTGTTCAGGTCCCTCTGAACAGCAGCCCTGCCCTTGAATGGAATGATTGCACCCTTAGTTAGTGGAAATTAAGACAATCGACTTCCTTAGTTAGCCTGGTAAATAGACCAAAAAAAAAAGGAAACAAGACATCATTGTACAGGTCTGGGCTGCCTTCTTGTCCAATATGTAAACTCTTGTTTGGCTGGAGATTATCCTGGCTGGGAAGTAACTTGTGATGAAGGATTTTCTACCATTTACTGGGGGAAAAAAAAAAAAAGTTGATAAGCTGTCGCTAAAGCATTTCTACCTTTCTTTCCCCTCCTCCCCCCAGTAAGCAGTAGGACTTACACCTCTGGATTTTATCCCACTTCAACAATTTATTTTATGAGGCTCCTTTACATCACTCCCATATTTCCCCATAGGAATCTGGGCTCGATGGAACCATTCCTTAAAGCCTGAGTATTGCTCTGACCTTGACTTACTGACACTGGAGCAATCTCGGTGTGTTTGGGGACCGAAGCAGAAGGTGCCCATAGCACTGCTCACACTATGCAGAAATGAAACAATTACAGTGATTTTTCCTCTTTTGCTGCTTCTCAGGAGTCATGAGGCCTCTCCCAATGACTCAGTGACATTCTCTCCTCACTAGGTGTTCCAACAGTACCTGCCATTCCCAAAGAAGAGATCTGCTGACAGACATCCCTGCCTTTGTGTGCTGTGAGCTTCGTGCCACTGCAGTTAATGCCAGCTGAGGATTAAGTAAGTGAGAGCCTCTCAGAACACATATATCTGGTCATATTTTCCATGTGATACGCATACACTGAACTCAAAGTCTCTTTATGACAAGTTTTCTAATCCTTTAAATACTCCTGTGGTTTGTGAAAAAACAAAACTGAACCCTCTAATTTATCAGTGCCCTTCCTGAGTGGACAGTTTGAAAATTGGATGTGGTGTTTTAACAACGTTTAGACCTGAGATATTTAGGGGAAAGAAAGAAATGCAGCAGTAGCAATTATTTGAGAAGACACACACGTGGCTGAAGTTGCCTTGTGAGGAGATAATACAGAAAGCACTTTTTTTTCTGCTGCTGGTAAGAACTGGAGAAACCTGAGAGAAATGTTAGTTTTTCTATAGATTCTTTGGAGGAAGGAAAAAAAAAAAAGTGATTGGCCAAAATGGAAAAAGGTTTGAAATCTGGTGGAGCCAAATTAAGAGAATCTTTGTGACAACACTGTGCAAAAAGAAAGGCTGAGGAACATTTTATTGTGGGGTGGTGCAGGGTGGTGAATAATTATATTTGCATCGTTCAAGAACGTGTGAATGGATGGGGTGGCAAAACAGAGCTCCATGAAAGGGCTGAGGAGGAACATGTAAAATGATGGCTCCAGTTAAATGTGAATTCAAAAGAACAAGGGAAGAAAGACTTGACAATAAAAAGAGTAAAGGACTTTACCAGTAATTTTTGAGTAATTTCTAGCCACGTTCAACACAGAGAAGGTTTGCATTTCAGGCAAAGGCTGCTCAGGGACAAGCCAGAGTTGGTTTTGTTCCTAAAAGAGAACAGAGCGTTCCTGGAACAGGGGAGACATGACATGGTGCTGCTAATCCCTGGGAAGTAGGTCAGGCTTGCAAAGGTGGAAGAAGGTACAGCTCATTTGAACCTGATTAGGAGCATGAAACAGGAAAAGAATAGAAAGAGAAAGCAAGAAAGGGCCAGTTAGAGAGGACAAGTGTCTGAGCCAGACCTTTTATTACTCCTGTGATTACTTCAATTACCATGTCCCTTACAGAACTTACTCTCCTTTAGCTTTATTTGGCTTCTGTTAAATCTGTACCTCTTCAGCTTCTATGTGTGTGTTGCTCTGCTGGTTTTGCACAGACCTGGAGAGCTGTAGTTTTCCAACTTCCATAATCCCACTGCTGTTAAAGAAAAGGTTCAGGAATCAAGCTGTCACTTTAGGTTTCCACAGCTGTAGATAGAAGTGTGTCCATGAATATCAGGTAAGTTTTGGATAGAATTTGGAGAAAAAGAAAAAAAAAAAAAGATTAGTTCAATTCCATGTTTGTTTGTTTTAATCTTGACTATAAAATGTAAAGGTCAATTATAGTGTAGAGATGCCAATGTGTCTTTCTCTTGTTCTGTAAAACTGCAGGCACTCATGGCACAAATATTCCTGTGCTGGAATGATAATTTATTTACCTTGGTGACCAGTCCCTGCTCTGCACCAAAGTACATTGTTTCCTAGACTTCTGCATCAGTAATTCCACTGTTTCTCTTGAGGGAACTGAGGAAAAGTGTGCTTTGTGTTCTACAACTATTTTCTGTATGGGGAGGTTGGACTGGGTGATTCTGTGTTCACTGAACCAAGATTTTGCCTCCTGATCACATGGCTTTCCAGTGGAAAAATGAAGGCAATTAAAAACTCAGTGGTTTTAGGTGTGTGGTACAGAGGGTGTAGTTAGAAAATTCATTCTGTAATTTGTTTCTATTAGGTTTATTTTCTACTATACTGAATGTTGTCCTGTTATTGGTTTGAGCAGGTTTCTCTTGGTAAAGGAAGGTATTCCAGCATTCCTGATGTGTTTTCCTTCACTTTGTGCCATGATGGATTCGTGACACTGCCTAGAGCAGAATAAATTACTGTATCACTCATTTCCCTAAAACACACTCAGTATCACCATCCTTGTAATTTTTTTTGCAGTTCTATACTGGATTTCCAGAACTACCCTCCTGGGCTTTTGGAATCTGTTCTCGATGGATTGTTTGCAAAACTAGGAAATAAGAAGTTTTTTTTTATAATGCAGAGAGTAATCATTTTATATTTCTGATTTTATTTAAATTTGTACACGTGCCTAACAAAATAAGTTGCAATGTATTTTTCATGATGTGAAAGCTAAAAGAGATTTATAGTTTCAAACAAATAATGTAGTAGAGAGTAAACAATATGTAGCCAAAATAAGTATTTCCTGCAGTTTCTCACATGGATTTATTAACCATAAAACTCGTTGTATTCCAGGCAAATGGTTTAGTTTAGAATAGATAAATCTTTAAAACCACAGCACTGCAACTGTTGGGAAGTCACCACGGCCCTGCCTTTGGTAGCTAATTAAAATGAACCAAAGGTTTTATACTAGACTGACCAGTAATGTTCATATCTCTCCTTCAAAAATAAGACTAAAAAAACTCCTTGGAATATGAAATATTTAAAGAGCTTTCTTCTTCATATGAGTAGTGTTAGTGTGAATCTAATGGCTACTCACCAAAAGGTAGGTATGTAAGGAGAAGAGGAAATCATACTTACAAGGGCACTGTACCCATAATCCTTCCAGTTGAATGTGGCTTTCAAGAACATCTCTGACTAACTTTGAGCTCTGTTATTCTGCAGAAATGTGAACAACTGGTTGTCCTGTCAGGCTTTCTGATTTGGAAAGTTATCAAAGGTATTCAGCATTGGAAAATGTATCTTATTATCAAAAAATCCCACCATGCGCTTGTTTTTGCGTCTTATAGTAATGTGCAGTTCTTCCCTACCTTCCTGAATGGCTGTCCTTGATCTTGTAGTACTAAATAATATTAAAAAATCTGCTTTTTCATCTTTTATCTGAGTACAGAAGACACTTGGCTACCGAGATGAAGCCTAAAACAGAAGCACACCAGAGTACAGCAGTGCTCAGTGTCCTTCCTGCAGCCAGAGGTATCCCCAAGCCCCAGGGAGCAGGGATACCTTGTCCAGGAAGCGTGACTGCCTGTGTGGGAGCTGGAGGAACAGCTTGCTGCCTTTGGAAAGGTGACTGCTCAGCAGGGGAGCTGGGGCAGGAGGAAGGAGATGTGGAACCTGAAGGGCTGCTTGTTTCTACTGAGGTGTCTTTATTTGGTATCTTCATTCTCTTCCAAGGTACCAAAGAGAGGGACAGCAATTCATTTGCAAGCCTTATGTAATATCCAGCCCTGCCAAGAGGTGCATGCTGGGGGCTCCCTCTCCCCACACAGCACTCCAGGATTCAGGAATGCCTCCGCTTCCTTATCTTTGCAGAAGGCAAGCACAGACCTCCTACAAGATCATCTCCCACCTCTACTGTGCATCTGTTCATTTTCTGCCTGTCAAGGCTCTTCAGAATTTAAAAGATCTTGCAGGAGATAGGAGAACAAGATTTCAAGTTTGAGTGCATCAGATCCGACGTGAAACATGAATTTTTATTGCTTGACTTATTTTTCTTACTTTTTTCTTTTTTATTTTTTTTTTAAGTGGAAAAGAGAAAGGAGAACTGCTGCGTAGGGAACTGTTGCTTGCAGTATATCTTTCTCAGCAGTAAAAATATCTCCAAGACAGAAGTACAGTTCTCTTTTTAGTCCTGACACCTCCAAAGCCTGATATATGTGGCTGACTTAGATGGAAAGGTATTATTAGGTTTTTTCTTGGATTATGATGCAAGCTCAAGCTGGCTGGGCTCATCAGGCAGTAAATCCAGTGCAAACAGCTGGGGCCAAGTTCTGCTCTTGTCCATGTTGCTGTTTGTGGCTGTTTGGGATCCTGGTTCCCTTCTATCACTTGTGAGGGTGTACCCAGGGCATGACTTACAGTGCAACCTGTCATTGATAGATTAATTCTGACTACATGCTATTCAAGAAAAAAAAAAAAAGAGTTATTCTTCCTTACACAGCACAGGAATCCAAAATTCAGGCCTTAATCACACAGCTAAGATTTGTTAGGTATGGCACGGGGAGTTATTTATACAGGGCTTTTACCATCAGTGACTTCTTGTTTCAAAAATAAGAAAAATAAGCCCCTTTCAACTCCTTTCTGGTGTAAAGAAGTGAATCAAACTGTGTTAAAGCGTGTAAAGACCTGGAGATCTCCTGCTGCCCTCAGCAGGGACTGCACAAGGATTGGGTATCTGTGAGCACAGCCAGTGCTTTCCCTGTGCCAGGCAGTGTCCCAGCCTCACTGACAGCTCCCTGCAGGAATGTCAAACCCATTTGAAACCTGCTCCCAGTGCTGCCTGCTCCCAGTGCTGCCTGCTCCCAGGGCTGCCCAAAGGCACAGGTATCAACCCAGGCCAACCCCCCAGATGTTCCATGGCAGAGGAGCAACTGTGCACTCATAACCACACCAAATAGGTGCTGTAATTCTAAAGGTCTCAACGCTTCGAGATTTGCTGCAGAAAGAAAAAAAGCTCACCTGAAAATATGGCCAGTTTGAGAAAATGAAAACTGTCCTGTCAGAAGCCAAGTTCTTGCTTAAATGTCCCGAAGACATATTGCAGCAGAGCTGTAAATCCAGATGCCACTGCAATCAAACCAAGCTTCCAAAAACCCCAACCTTTGTGAATATCTGAATTTATCAACCTAAATTCAGCACTGAGATGAGCGACTTCAGCTGAAAGCAGCAGAATATACATGAAACAGTAAATATTTTCCAATTTATTGCTGTATTTGCAGCACCACCTTTTCAGAGTTTGTAGTCGTTCCCTCACACACTAAGAAAATATGTCTTCATCTAAAAGCAGTGAAAAATAATATTTCTGGGCCCTGTCTTAATAGGCATTCTGGTTTGATACAGATGCCAGCACTCCTGAGGCTCTTGTGGGGACTGTCTTCTCTAAAAATTTCCAAGTTTTAATAAAGTAATGTTCATCTCCTTCAGTGTTTCAAAACAAGTATAAAATCCTTATCCTGGCCCTCCTGTTTAAGCAGTTTTCCTGTTCCTTTCCCGCTGACCTGTACATTGGGTGGACCAAGGGCAAGTAATGGTCAGATTTCTTTTAGTTTTTTTTCCCAGACAACCATTTAAAAGAGGTAAAAATTACACAAGACATTGCAAGGCACTGGAATTGCCTTGAATTTGCCACTGTAATTCTCCTTGTTCTCCTTTTCCCAGAGACAGTTGAAAATAAGCTGCTGGAAAGAAGAATTACATGCGATACGATCTGAGTTTAACTCATCTCTTATCTTGCATCACTAGTGTCCAATAGACACTTCAGGCCATTTGTTCTTTGGACAACAATCTGAAATTGTTCCTGGAATTTTAGGAACAAGATCCCTTTCAGTTACAGTCTAGAATCAGTGGGGTGATTTTATGAGAGATGAGTTACTTGGGTGAAAATTGGAATCAACCCAAAAAGTTTTCTGTATTGAAGTGTAAAGCAGGCTGAGTTCAGAATTCTTGGTCCTGACAATATCTTTTACATAACCAAAAATGCAGGTGAATGAAGAGCCAACTGAACAGAGGTGATTTTATTACCAGGCTGGATTGTCTCTGCAGCATTCCTGTGAAATGGAACGTGCTTACATTTCATAGTAATTTATGTGGTCATAGAAATATCTCTGCTCCAAAAAGAAGTGGTGTATAGATCTCGGTGCTGGGCCATATGAAAAGATTGCAAACTGTCTGCCAGAAAAGGCTACTCAAGCTTCAAGGAAGCTGAAATTCTCGTGTTTTGTTTGCCAAGGCCACAGAAATCTCCAAATATACAATCACCCACCAGTGATTAAATGCAACTTCCAAAGTGTCCATAAATATTTAAGCCCAGTGCAACTCTCAGATGTGTGGTTTGGTAATTAAGGTGATGGGGGCAAAGAAAACCATTGATTTTCCCTCAGGGGTTCCTGTGCAGAGCACTTGAGATCCAGCCCCAGAACACAAGGGTGTCAGGCACAAAGTCACGTTAAGATTTTTCTTTTGAAAGAAAGAATTAAAACCAGAGAGGGTGTGCATTTATCTGAAGTGTGGGCTGCTGATGGGGCTTATGTAAAAGTTTCTTTCAGAGCTCCCCTTTTGCCAAAGAATGCATTAGCAGATATCCAGAAATAGCAGGTTTTATGTGGAATATGTTAAGCTGGTGAGTGCTCTGAGCCTCATTTGCCATCCTTTAGCTGTTCAGTGCCGTTCAGCTCCATGAGTGGACAATGTAAACCAGTTATAATAAGTGGATTTTGTATGGTAACAATCTAAAGGACATAAATACATAGTCTTACATGGCTTATTCCAGCAGAACCATGTCCCAAAAGTTCATTTTTATTGCTGAAATATTCCAGCCACCGTGTAGCTTTCTGTGTGGCAACAGTGTTCCTGGTCCTCCAGCTTCATCCATAAGCTCTTAAGTATGGATGCCTTTTCCCCTTAAAAGAAATGTGAAATATATAATGCACTTTTAAAGGTTTACATATCCTCAAATATCTTTTTTTTTTTTTTTTTTACATCTGTATCAGGTGATTAAGAAACATTGTCCTTTTTCTTTGCAAGGGGAGTGTAGTTCCTTATATCCCAGTTACTGGGGAGTAGTTTCCAGGGACCCAGAGATGAGCTAAGCTGCTGTTGGCACACACTTAAGCTCAGGGGAGGGGGCAGTTTGCACAGATGTGCCAAGCAGCACCTGCCTAAGCCAGACTTTGGTTTTACATCCACGTGTCTCTGGTGAGGAGATGGTGGATCCAAGCCTTTCATTCT